ATTACTCTGTTAATGGCGATCATTACTCTGTTAATGAGGATCATTACACTGTTAATGGCGATCATTACACTATTAATGGGAATAATTACACTACTAATGGCGATAATCACTGTATTCATGGGGATAATTACACTATTAATGGCGATAATTACTGTATGCATGGCGATAATTACACGATGGGGAAATAATCACATTATTAATGGGGAATAATTACAGTATTAATGGGGAAATCATTACAGTATTAATGGGGAAATTACATTATTAATGGGGAAATAATCACATTATTAATGGGGAATAATTACAGTATTAATGGAGAATAATTACAGTATTAATGGGGAATAATTACAGTATTAATGGGGAATAATTACATTATTAATGGGGGAAATTACATTATTAATGGGGAATAATTACAGTATTAATGGGGTAATTACATTATTAATGGAAAATCATTACAGTATTAATGGGGAAATAATCACATTATTAATGGGGAATAATTACAGTATTAATGGGGAAATTACATTATTAATGGGGAAATAATCACATTATTAATGGGGAAAATTACATTATTAATGGAGAAATAATCACATTATTAATGGGGAAATTACAGTATTAATGGGGAAAATTACACTATTAATGGGGGAAATTACAGTATTAATGGGGAAAAAAATCACGTTATTAATGGGGAAATAATTACATTATTAATGGAGTATAATTACAGTATTAATGGGGAAATAATCACATTATTAATGGGGGAAAATTACATTATTAATGGAGAAATAATCACATTATTAATGGGGAAATTACAGTATTAATGGGGAATAATTACATTATTAATGGGAAACAATTACATTATTAATGGGGTAAATTACAGTATTAATGGGGAAAAATCACATTATTAATGGGGAATAATTACAGTATTAATGGGGAAATCATTACAGTATTAATGGGAAATCATTACAGTATTAATGGGGAAATCATTACAGTATTAATGGGGTAATTACATTATTAATGGGGAATAATTACAGTATTAATGGGGAAATAATCACATTATTAATGGGGAAAAATCACATTATTAATGGAGAAATTACAGTATTAATGGGAAAATCACAGTATTGCTGGGGAAAAATCACGTTATTAATGGGAAATAATTGCATTATTAATGGGGAAATAATTCCAGTATTAATGGGAAAAAATCACAGTATTAATGGGGAAAAAATCACAGTATTAATGGGGAAAAAAATCACATTATTAATGGGGAAAATTCACATTATTAATGGGGAAATGGGGAAAAAAATCCCAATTTTTGTGGTGAAAAGACAAAAAAATTCCCATTTCTACCAGGGCAGAGGGAAAATTCCCATTTTTAGTGGTGAAAAAGGGGAAAAAATATTTATTAATGATTAATTATGAATGTATGGATTAATTAATCCGTATTAATTATTAATGATGAATGAATTCACCTGCATTAATTGATCGCTATGAAGGTATGATGTAATTAACATGTATTAATAATTAATTATGAATGTATTGATTAATATGTATTAATTATTAATGATGAGTGAATTAATCTGTATTAATTGTTAATTCTGACGGTATGAATTCATTAATCAGTATTAATTATTAATTATGAAGGCATGAATTCATTAATCTGAATTAATTATGAATTATGACAGTATTAATTAAATAATCTGTATTAATTATTCATTATGAAGGCATGAAGTAATTAATCTGTATTAATTATGAATTATGAAGGTATTAACTAATTAATAGGTATTAGTTACTAATTATGAATGTACTAATTAATCTGCATTAATTATTAATGTATGAATTCATTCATCTCTATTATTAATTATGACTGTATTAATTACTCTATTAATTGTTAATGAAGAAGGTATGACGTAATTCATCTGAATTAATTACGAATTTTGACGACATGAAGTCACTGATCTGTATTAATTATTAATTATGACTGCATGAATTAATTAATCTGCATTAATTATGAATTGTGAATGTATGAATGAAATAATCCGCATTAATTGTTAATTACGAAGGTACGAAGTAATTAACCTGTATTAATTATTAATAATGAATGCATGGATTAATTAATCTATATTGTTAATTATGAATGTATGGATTAATTAATATGTTTTAACTATTAATTATGAAGGTATGAAGTAATTAATCTGAATTAATTATGAATTATGACGGTATGAATTCATTAATCTGCATTAATTGTTAATTATGAATGTATGAATTATTAATTAGGACTGTATGAAATAATTAGTCTGTATTGTTAATTATGATGGTATGAATTCATTCATCTGTATTAATTAATAATTAGTAATTAAATAATCTGTATCAATTATGAGTTATGAAGGTATGCATTAATTAATCTCTATTAATTTTTAATTATGTAGGTATGAAGTAATTAATCTGAATTAATTATGAGCTATGAATTAATTAATGTGTATTAATTGTTAATTATGAAGGCATGAATTAAATAATCTCTATTAATTTTTAATTATGTAGGTATGAATTATTAATCTGTAGGAATTATGAATGGGAATGAATTATTAATCACGAATTAACTAATTAATCGGCATTAATTAACACAGCCGGATGAATAAAACCAAACCTGATTGCATTAATTTCCTTAATTAATTAATTAATTAACAGAAAACAAAATCAAAAATTCAATTAAAGAAACCTGCCCACATTTTCATTTCCAGGGGGAAAAATCAAATTTTACCCCCGGGAGGGGTAAAAAATCAAATTAAAAACGAGGAATTGCAGAAAATAAAGGGAATTTCTGGAATTTCTGCACAAAATGGAATTAAAAATGCAGAATAAATGGAATTTTGGGGTATTTTTTGTACAAAATGGAATTAAAAATGCAGAATAAATGGAATTTT